TTGATAAGAATGTTGTTTATTGGTCCAGTGGTGAGGATTTTTGTTTTCTTTACATTGAGATGTATTCCATACCAAAGGCTTTGCTCTTTGATGTTCATCAGTAAATGTTTTAAGTCCTCTTCACTTTCAGCAAGCATGGTTGTGTCATCTGCATATCGCAGGTTGTTAATGAGACTTCCTCCAATCCTAATGCCACGTTTTTCTTCATAGAACCTAGCTTCTTGTATTATTTGCTCAGCATGCAGGTTGAATAAGTATGGTGAAAGAATACAACCTTGTCGTACACCTTTCTTAATTTTAAGACAGTCAGTATTTCCATGTTCAGTACAAACAACTGCCTCTTGGTCCAGGTACAGATTCCTCATGAGCACAATTAAGTGTTCTGGAATATTCATATTTTACAATGTTGTCCATAGCTTGTCATGATCCACACAATTGAAAGCTTTTGTGTACTCAATAAAGCACAGGTAAACATCTTTCTGATATTCTCTGCTTTCAGCCAAGATCCATCAGACATCAGCAATAATATCCCTTATTCCACGGCCTCTTGTGAATCCGGCTTGAACCTCTGAAGTTCTCTGTGAATGTATGCTTGCAGCCGTTTCTATATTACTTTTAGTAAAACTCTACTCGCAATCAAAGAGATTGTCTGATGATTTCCACATTCCATTGGGTCACCTCTCTTTGGAATGGGCACATTCCAAAGATCTCTTCCAATCAGTCAGCCAGATAGTTGTCTTCCAAATTTCTTGGCAGAGATGAGTGAGCACCTCCTGTGTCACCTCACTTTCTTGAAAGATTTCAATTTTGATTCCATCAATTCCTGGTACCTTGTTCTTTGCCAATTCCTTCAATGCACCTTGGACTTCCTCCCTGAGTATCATTGCCTCTTGATCATATGCTACCTCTTGAAACAGTTGAACTTCAACCATTTCCTTTTGGTACAGTGACTCTGTATATTTCTTCCATCTTCTCTTGATGCTTTCTGCATCATTCAATAATTTTCCCAAAGAATCATTCAACAACGAAAGTCGAGGCTTGAATTTTTTCTTTAGTTCCCCCAGCTTGAGAAATGCTGACCGTGTTCTTCCTTTTTGGTTTTTTGATTCTGGATCTTTGCAAATTTGTTGTAATATTTGGTTTTATCTTCTCAAGCTGATCTTTGAAATTTTTTGTTCAGCTCTTGTACCTCCTCATTTCTTCCATTTGCTTTGGCATCTCTACGCTGAAGAGCAAGTTTCAGTGTCTCTTCTGACATCCATTTTGACCTTTTCTTTCTTGTCTTCTCAATGACTTTTTGCTTTCTTCCTGTATGATATTCTTGATGTCATCCCACAACTCTACTGGTCTTCGGTGTTTAGTCTTTAATATATCAAATCTGTTCTTCAGATGATCTCTAAATTTGGGTGGGATATATTCAAGGTCATATTTTGTCTCTCGTGGACTTGTTTTCATTTTCTTCAGCTTCAGTTTGAATTTGCATATGAGTAATTGATGGTCTTTTCCACAGTCTGCCCCTGGCCTTGTTTTCACTGATGATATGGAGCTTTTACATTGTCTCTTTCCACAGATGTGGTCAATTTGATTTCTGTATATTCCATCTGGTGAGGTCCATGTGTATAATTGTCTCTTATGCTGTCCAAAGAAGGTATTTGAAATGAAGAAATCATTGACTTTGCAGAATTCTATCATGCATTCTCCAGCATCATTTCTATCACCAAGGCCAAATTTTCCAACTACTGATCCTTCCTCTTTGCTCCCAACCTTTGCATTCCAGTCACCAGTAATGATCAATACACCTTGATTGCATGTTTGATCAATTTCAGATTGAAGTAGTTGGTAGAATTCTTCTATTCCACCATCACTGCCTTTAGTGGTTGGTGCGTAAATTTGAATAATAGTGGTATTAACTGGGCTTCCCTGTAGGTGCATGGTTATTATCCTGTTACAGACAGTGTTGTACCTCATGACTGATCTGGATATGTTCTTTTTGACAATAAATGCAACACCATCCCTCTTCAATTTGTCATTCCCAGCATAGTAAACCATGTGGTTGTCAGATTCAAAATGGCCAATACCAGTCCATTTCAGCTCA